ATACTTTACATAAAATTATATTCGCGACAAATAAAATAATTTAGCTAGAAGCGTAGTGTCAAGCATTCAGTAAAATCCAGTGATGTGCAACAGAACTATTAACATTAAATCACACATCACAATAATATTATAAAGTAATATACATTATGTATATGCATAACATACGTGAACAAAGCAGAAGAATCGCACTGTCAAAATCAGCTGTTCTCGAAAGGTCAATGGTCAACATCTAGTGATAAAGCAAATATTTACCTGTTATTGTAAAGGAAAATATTTAGTTCGTGACTTAACGTGAACGGGGTAGAACGTATATTCGTTTTTAAGTTACAAGTTTAGTGTTTTTTGAATAATTTTGCGTAAAAATGCCGAAAATACGAGCTGGTACAGTTGTTGACCTGCTGGGGGATGAAATGACCCGCATTATATGGGACGCAATAAAAGAAAAACTTATCTTGCCTTTCTTGGACATTGACTTGAAGGTCTTCGATTTGGGTATTGAAAACAGGGATAAAACAAATGATCAGGTGCGCTAAATTATTGTTTAATGCTCAAACAATCTAATAAACATCAGCTTGAAATTTTATTGAAATTGCTTCTCCGTAACGGTATTTATGAGTACTTATTAATTTTTTTCCATGAAACCCGATCGGTTTGAGCGGAAAATTCCTGAACTTTGCTCATGATTAGCCTATGAATACATTTATTACATATATATAATACATATGTACTTATTAATTGAGCCTGCGCTTAATAAAAATGAAACTGAAACATAATTTTAAGTTTTTGAAATATGTACCTAGTCCTATGAGATTTATAAACATCAAATCCATGCTATTATCAAAACCATTCAATTGTGGAGATACGCCTACCAGTTAACAATAGATTCATTATTTAACAATCTGCAAATCAACTATACTTACGAGTGAGTATATCTCGCTAAACCTATATATCGTTTAAGTATATGTATTTAAATCCCGAAACTTTTCAGTTTTCTGCACTATGTTTCAGTTCAAGTGTTTATGTAACTGAAAATGTCCGCCCCTAGAAACGTTTCAACGAAACGTTACTCAAACGTTTCAAGTTAATGTTATCGAAACGTTGCGCTAAACGTTATTTAAACGTCGCAAATAAATATTTTGAAACATTATGCAGGGTGTATCTTTCAATTCAATTTTAATTAATGGTACATTTTGGCCCTAGAAGCAGGACAATCAGGTTAATTTTTCTTTTGACCAAAAACTATCTCATAACTAGTAGGTACTGCTGCATACTAGCAGGTATTGCTGCAGACTATTTTCCTATGTTTTCAGTTTCTGAGTTTTAGGCCACATTTGTGGCCCAAATCCATCCTATCTTCGGGGGTTAATAAGCGGATTTGTTTTTCCTAAAGAAAATAAACCTGATAGTCCTGCTTCGAGGACTAAAATATACCTACCCCAAAATAAATTAAAAAATATTCAATTTAAGGTAACATATTTGTACTCCTCAAAGAATCACTGTAGTTTCGTGATTTTATAACGTTTTCATAAAAAAATTTACAAAACAAGCAACTTGATTGGAAATGTTTTAAATTTACAATTATCCCAAATGGTATGTATACAGGGTGTTGTATGGAAAATGCGTTAGGAAATTTTCGAGAGTTATTCAATATGCTAAAATAATGATAGTAAGTCATATAACGAATATTCGAAATCTGAATATTTACCGAGTTCCAGCTTATCAAACTTTGTTTTTCACTTTTGAGCTATTCTGAAAATTTCTTCGCGGATTAACTTGAAAATCGGTACACAGTTTAGCTTAGTAATCTCTGACTTTCTGATCAAAAATTGTTTCTCCACTGTGAAACTAGATGGAACTTTACCTGTAATACAACTTTAATTTTCTGCTTGTTATTTTGGTCACGCCAAATATCGCAAAAACGAATACTTATGCCATTTTAAACATTAGAAAATACTAAAAACATTATTTTTTTTAAAGAAGCATTTAAAATCACGACTCGAAAGCCCTCCTCGTTTAGGAGCAAATCGACCATAAAGTTTTTATTACTTCAACCCAGTGGTCATGTATTTAATTGGAATCGCAAAATATCAAGTCGTCTGGTTGTAAAAATTGTCAAATATTACACATTTTGAGAATTGCAAATAAAACTATTTTATTTTTTTTGAGGGCAAACTAGTGGTCGTAGGAAAAAACAATAAGAGATAAAAAGGTAGGTAAATAATTTGTAGTAATTAAAAAAATTATGCTGATAAGAGTTTAAGTGCATTCAAAAAAGTTCTGAACAAAACAAACGTAGATGTTCCACATTTCTACCCTGTATAAAAGTAAGCAGAATCACAAAACACTACCATAGAATGGCATTCAATTAGATTATCATGTATACCAAAATTGAAGTTTACATGTTTAACTGTTTTAAAGAAACACAACAAAAACTAATATTTTCCGCCATTTTGGAAGTCAAATATCTCAACAATGAAACCTCAAATTGAAAAAATTCTCAGGAAATTCCCCTTCTAAAATGACTAGAAGAACACGATTTAAAATTTTTTAACATATTTACGGAACACTCTGTATATAGCTTGTTCCGTAAACATCTGTAATGGCATTTTTTCTTAAACAATTGACACATATCAAGATATTAACAAAACTAGGGTTACTTAAACTCGAAATTGGAAGGCCAATCCAACCATG